AGATATATCTATGGTTTTCTATCTATGGCTCTGGTTTTTCTTCCGTGACAGTGCGTGTGCACTGAAAGTTCAGAACTATTTATTTATTATTATTATTATTTTGTCTCAGTGCAGTTCAAAACGCTATAGCTGATCAGCTTTTTTCGTGGTTTTTCGAACGGCTAATATAGTCAAAATATACACACGATTACAGTTGGTGTGATGCAAGCTCCATGCGGGAAGGAAAAATACAACGTCAGTTTACTGCACTAATCCACCCAGTTTAGTGAGAGTAAAGGCGTCCAAATAGAATGAATCTGAATGAAATAAAGTTATTTGGTAAAAATATGATTTTTATAGGGAGAGCGGGCACAACCTAATACTTTTTTACTTCCTCAGTTTGTGTAAATCTACATTGAAAGTTAATTTCTGGCTGAAGTTAATTTTCCATCTCAGTTTTTAGTATTAATTTAAAATTAGACAAATCTGCTATTATTTGAATCTCCAATCTGTTATCAGTTTAGATTTTAGATGCTTCACTAAGTAGCAGAAGACACTAACCAGTTTTAAATTCCAGTTATGCAGATGGGGAATGTTGTAACACTGCGTTACAATGTGCCCTGCTATTAATAAACTATGCTTTTCTATAACATTGGCGATGTAGTTTACACTATTTACTTTCATGAATTTTAACGAGAAACCAAGAAACAGGTGAATAATGAGATTCAATGAAACATTCAGAAATTATTTCAAAGAAATGTAAAGCATTTTGGCTCGTCTATTTGTCTTGTGTTCTGTAAGAGCTGTGTGTGGAGGTCTCTGTGTTTTTCTGAATGTCTGAATGTGTTTCTTCATATGCCCACATTGCTTTAAACTATGCCCAAGCATGCAATGTGTTCATTGTCAAATTTCAAAATTATATTATTTTTTAATTCTTAAAAAACATCATTTTATTTGAAAAAGTTAATTTATTGACTAAATATTTTAGTTTGTCTTGTATATATATATATATATATATATATATATATATACAAGACAAACTAAAATATTTAGTCAATAAATTAACTTTTTCAAATAAAATGATGTTTTTTAAGAATTAAAAAATAATATAATTTTGAAATTTGACAATGAACACATTGCATGCTTGGGCATAGTTTAAAGCAATGTGGGCATATGAAGAAACACATTCAGACATTCAGAAAAACACAGAGACCTCCACACACAGCTCTTACAGAACACAAGACAAATAGACGAGCCAAAATGCTTTACATTTCTTTGAAATAATTTCTGAATGTTTCATTGAATCTCATTATTCACCTGTTTCTTGGTTTCTCGTTAAAATTCATGAAAGTAAATAGTGTAAACTACATCGCCAATGTTATAGAAAAGCATAGTTTATTAATAGCAGGGCACATTGTAACGCAGTGTTACAACATTCCCCATCTGCATAACTGGAATTTAAAACTGGTTAGTGTCTTCTGCTACTTAGTGAAGCATCTAAAATCTAAACTGATAACAGATTGGAGATTCAAATAATAGCAGATTTGTCTAATTTTAAATTAATACTAAAAACTGAGATGGAAAATTAACTTCAGCCAGAAATTAACTTTTGCTATGGTAAAATAAATGTTCAGTGATATCTTCAAAATAATTTTTAATTTTGCTAAATTTTTTTCTCTGTATGGTGTTAATATGGCAACTAGTAAATACACAAAATGGGGGAAAATGTTTTCGATTTGAATCCCATTTCCTGCAGTTACATACATTTAGGGACTATAGTACGGTGGCCGAGAAGTGCAAAGCAAATCACAATTCTGAAAACAAAATAACAAGTCGCTTATCCATCTGCTCCACTGGAGCTAATGGTTTACAGCCACATTTAACTAAATGTAAATAGACACCCCATATTTTTTATTCCATAGTAAGGGCAATTCATACAATACATTTAAACTGAGCTACTTTAATACCATCTCCGAACTTTCTACCACGACTCTGCTGTTCTTCGGCTGGTTCTTCCCTGTATACGTTGATTGACAGATGTCTCGTCAGTCAGTGGTGAGTAATCCCAAACCAATGGCGCTGTCTCAAACTATACCTACTTCTTCCGGTTTGTCTGATTTGTCGTTGTGTTTTCTGACTTGTTATTTTGTTTTCGAATTTGTCATTGTGTTTTCTGACTTGTTATAATGTTTTCTGAATTGTTGTTGTGCTTTCTGAATTATTTTGTTTTTTAGACTTGCATTTGCGTTTGTAATTTGTTATTTTGTTTTCAGAATTGTGATTTGCTTTGCACTTCTCTGCCACCGTACTATAGTGATACAAAATCCAGAAAAGAATTAAGTTGATTATAATGATAAATTCTGCCAAAAAGAATAGTAGGAAAATGCTGACAGAAAATGCACGGTTTAAAGTGGACTCATTTTGATGGTACACAGAATGTTCTACATCAGTGGTTCCCAAACATTTTAGAGTGGAGTACCCCCTGAGGCATTTACCATTCTTCTGTGTACCCCCTCTCTTCCACTTTAGACTGCACCTTTTCCAGTCCGCGTGAACTGGAAATTGCTGCCGACTTTATTTCTGTGAAGTGACGTATTTCCAGCTGAAACGGAATATTGAGGAGAGGGCGTGGTTTTATTTTAGCGTTTGTAAGAATTACAGAACCTCAGACACTTTGATCTTCTGAGACAGACAATACACACACAGTGCATTAACATACAGACTTCTGTTTCCACATCTCACTGAGAGAAAATGCGGGAAAACGTCTCTCACATATGCATCAGTTCTGAAACTCAGATATTTTGATCTCCTGAGAAACAGACAATACAAACTTACACGGGCATCTTGGAAGAAACCCCACAGAGTGGCGGTGCAGGGACTTTAGTCTTTGCAACTTCAGGGATCTTATCTATGCACAATCAGCTTGTAACACTCCAAAGAGAAAGGAAAACTTGAAATCGCATCATATGACCCCATTAAAGAAACTCAGATATTTTGATCTCCTGAGAAACAGACAATACAAACATAAACGGGCATCTTCGAGACGGAAACGCCTCTCTCACATATGCATCAATTCATTTTCATCCCCTTCCTTCCCCTTACCCATCCTCTCTCCACTTGGTTCACTCAGAATGGCCAATAGTATAATGTTCAACACACTTCATACTATATATTTTTCAAAAAGTCAGGTATGCATCTTACTCTTAGATTCGTCTTTGAGAATTTTTCCAGAGCTGAAGTAAATTTTCAGATTTTGATTAAAGATTACAAGACAAACAATTTTTTTCAGCGGATTAACTTGCATGGATTGTTCACATCAAGGCTATTCGTGCTAAATTATTATTGATGCAGTCAAAAACTCTCCAGCTGCTTTGCAACCAGAAGCCTTAACTTGTGAGTTAGTATTTAAAAGTTGCAAAACAAGTTTGCTTGATAAAATACTGTTCAAATGTTTGGTGTCATCAAATTAATACTTTTATTCAGAAAGGATACATTAAATTGAACAGAAATAACAGTGAAGCTATTTATAACATTAGAAAAAAAATTGTATCCGGCTCTTTTGAACTTTCTATTCATCAAAGAATCCTAAAAAACACTCATTTACTGTTAAGCAGCACTACTTTAAGCAGCACAAACATTTTCAACAAATAAAAAATAATAATAAAAGAAAGAAGGATTTAGCATATTAGTCGGTAACAGTAAAGACTGGAGTAATGGCTGCTGAAAATTCTGTTGCCATCATATACATTAAACTGTAAAATATATAAAATTAGTAAACAGCTATTTTGAAATATATTATTATTAACAACTTTGGCGAAGCACAACAAGACAAAAGTCGGTGAAAAGTGGCCGGGCTAAAATAACTTTGCAGAATAGTGTGGCAGAGGGGTCTAAGATACTGGATTTGGGCTGTTGTCTTTTCTGGGACACTGGTTCAAATCCCACTGTCAATGGCTTTTGTATGCTCTGAAAATGTCAGGACTTTTAGAAACATGTAAGTATGGCAAGGTGTGTCATCTTCTTCCAGAATGGTTGCCTCTTTGCTGAGGCAAGGTGACTCAATCATGCCCCATCCTTTGTACATTGGTAACTGACTACTCAAGATTTTATTTCTGAAGATTTTAGTCAATCCTGTGTTGTTCTGTTCTTCAAAATTCATCTCAGATTGGTTGCAATTGTAACACATCTGCAAGCTCTGACAC